AAGTCTTATCAATATACCACCACTAATTACCAACCATGCTGAGTGAAAGAATTGCACAGCTCTTGGCCAGATCTAGTTTGTTTATTAAACAGAACTAATAAGCAAATATTATTTATCTGTTTATCCACTTTGGACATTAAAAGCTGTTTGTCCTTAAAAGCAAAGTTTAGAGCCTGTGTTGGGAAATACCATATAACATTTGCCAAATTGCCACACCAAAAAATGAAAAATTCTACAGAAAAAGAAATGGATCTTTAAAATATGATTTCCAAAGTTTATACCATACCAAGTATGCTATACAATATTCCTTCTATTGTTTCATCTTTGGTAAGAGCTATAACAAAGGCTTAAAATGTTCCATGTCCTTTATTTTTCTGGCATTTGGTATTGGAAATCTGGATTTATTTGGACACTTACCAACACGTGTGCGCATTAGGTCTTAGCATAAGAAAATCTTAAACTGCAAGTGAAACACCAATAATACTGAGAAATTGGTAAGATTTTCAACTTCCTTACTCATACATTTCTAAGACTAAGGATACCCATGTAAACTGCAGTCCCGAAACAGAGTAGTATTTCACAGAACTGTGTAGAAATTGTTTTCTTGAAGTAGCCTGCCTATGCATTCTTGCTTCCATAGGGGGTGCTCAGACTCCATATTAAAGCGATGACGAATGGTTTATACAAGTATCAGAAACTTGGTAGGGACTTTGTAATTATATTTTTCTTCTAAGTTATAAAAAAAGATCTCTTTGGATACAAAGATAAATGCATAAGAAGCTAAGTGGAGCTGAGGAGGTAATGCAGGAGCAAATATTATGTGGGTGATGAGAAAAAAAAAAGAAGTTCACAGACATTGGACTGGCTGACTATATTAGCCTTTGCTAAGCAGTGACAACAAAGTAATCTCTGTAATGTGTAGCCATGCTCTTCATTCAAACATCTTAATTTTCTTCTGTTATCATGGATGAAGGCAAAGCGTCCTTAAGGACAAAGAAAACTCAAAATTGGGTTTTCATTTCTTATTTTGATCGTGCTTTCCTATGCATTAACATGAGGATGCGACATAAATGCTGCTTCCATAAAACTACTGAAAGGAAAACGTTAAGGGTATTTACGCTGTCAAAAAATACGAGGGAGCATGAGGAGGAGGTAGTAATCCCCCTCACCACCTCCTCCACGAGTATCTATACTCCTTTGAATGCCAGTGGCCCACGATGGAGGCTCCTTCACTGTTGCTTCAAAGGTATTTCCCAAAGCCTCTGTTTTTACGAGGTTTGTGAGACAGAGGATAAGCTGCAGGGGACAGGGGCAAGGCCCAGGGGAGGTGGCAGCCAGGGGTCCCTATGTCACTCCCTAGGGATGCGTACGAAGCAGTCAACCATGCCCTTATTCTGCTGGTCTGCCCAGATCTGCTTGGACAAGGGCCTTCATCTGCAGCACCAGCTTCATCCACTCGACAGGTGCCACCGTCATCTTGGAAATGGCAGTCACCACGCCACTGGCCAGTAGGTTCTCCCTGAAGGAGAGAGAGTCATAGAGGTCCTTGCCCAGCAAGGCCGCCATTGCTCACAGCATCACCTCACCCCTTGACCTATTTCCTCTTCTTCCCCAAAAGAATCTGCAGCCAGCGGGCACCTAACTGGCTGCTTTGTTCTGAAAAGTTGATGACCTCGTGGTGCACACCGGCACGGGCCCCTCTCTGTCACCCCAGGGCACCCGGCACAGCCAGTAATAGCTGAGCTGCCTCTGCCCCCCACTGATACTGGCTGCAAGGGGCAATGGCTGTGGCTAGGCCCAGAAGCCCCGCCATTTGCTTCTGCTGCATTGACTCCTAGAGAGTGCCACCACTCCTGAGCTGCAGTCAGCAAGCTTTCTTCAGACCTCAGGAACCTTCCAGAAGCTTCTGTAAGTTGTGGGGACTGGCCTCTCTCACCTGACCAGGAACTAGTGAATAAAAAACAGGTAACAAAGGGTAGTTGTGGATCACATTGAATTACGAGTTAATAAACATTACATATAACAAGTAAATTAATTTTAATCGTGTTATTTACACCCATTCCATTGCAGGTCAGGGGTACCAATTCCTTCTAGATTACTGGTAGCGTTTTTTTTCTTTTTTTTAGTGCTTTACCTCCCCTGCATCTCCTGACTTTATGACTGATGAAGACATGAAACAATGTATTTGTTCAGTCAAAATGTTTCAACTATTGATGTTTTTAAATGTTAACTTTTGTTTCTTGCCTTCCCTTGAAATTAGTAACTTTAACCTTGGTACTCCATTGATTTATTATACACCACATTGCCTTGGTAATAATTTTTATAAGTAATAATTAAAGGCAAAATAAATTAATTTCTTTTGAGCCATAATGCTAGCATTTTAACTCCTTTAGTAGCTTTATCCTGTCTATTTAAACAGTAATTCTATACACTGATTCACATCTATAATCTTCCTGAAGTTACAAAGCTACAAGATTTGTATCAAAGATACCGGATAAAAATATTTGTTCTGTATGAAATGAAATTCTATCACCCTATGGGGCTCTTTTTAAACATACTCTTAAAAAGCTGCAAAAATACAGTCTGTGTTCAGATGGTTAACAAAGTAACCAATAAAAATCTGCTTAAGTGTAGTATCAATATGATTAATGCAAATTTTGCAACTTTTTGCTGCTGAAC